TGGAGCATTTAAAAAGATCCTATTACTTAATATATGGTAGTACACAAACTGTGCACCATATACTTGAAAATTCTTCATACGGTAGCCAATTCAACCAAGAACTCCACGCAAAGGGACCTTGTTACCATTTGGAGTGTTATGAAGAGAACCTGAACAATGAAAAATTTTGTTACTGGGAGTCTGACAAGAAGACTGGGGAATAAGAATATGGAGGAAAGAAGTTTGTTTCTAATATTACTGCTTACACAACCTAACATATTTTCTTCATAAGGATACGCCCAAACTGCTCCACTAGCTCTGGTGGAAGCGGGACTCTGCGGACTGAGCTGATCTCTGGAAGATTAGGTATGGACAGCAAACCTGGTCCTTGTAAAGGATAATCCATATCCGACATACCAGAAACAGTAGGGCTACCTGCAAGTAAGAACAAAAAATGATCAAATGCCTTGATGCTGCAGAGACTTTAAACATATAAATACCACTACTCACAAGATATATGTGAATAAAGATTTCTGTGGGAGTAGAACCCTGAGCAAAAAATCTAAACCTCAAATCAGACAAGCAGAAACAGATTTGCAAAGAAACTCTCAAAATAACTCATCTAGATCCCAGCTTGCTTTTTACCCCCTTTTTTTCATGATACTTTCCAGCCCTTTATTCATTGTATAGTCAGATACATACCTGAACAACCCAGGTGCATATTCTTTCACCTAGAAAAGGTGATTTGTACTTCCAGTACCAAGTCAAAACACCTTGTACATCCATTGTTTTATGTGATGTGTATCCACGATGCTGCCAGGGCAGTTACAGTGTGTCCATACACATCCCAGCAAAAACCAGATACTCCTTGTTTGCATCCAGACACCCCTCGATATATACTAATTATACACCTACAGCTCTAGAGTACCTCTTCAAAGCCTGCTTTGCCAGACAATCGCCACTAGTGGAGAAGTGCTGCCTTGATGTGCTAAGTAAGACTAAACAAATGTTTGAAAAGAGGTACGCCTCACATCACACCCACGTGTGTGACGTACAGCTAGAGACAAAGAGCTTTCCAGGCTGCTTGCAACTTAGGGATGGGCGCAGGAGTTACCATGAGAGCATCCTGCAAGAGATTCCCAACAGGCAGAACAGAAAACCAGCGCCGCATTCTTCACCTTCTAGAAGGAGGTGAGGCAGCTCCAGCCCATTGCCCCCCGCAGGGCTCACCCCCACGGCTCCCACGCGCGCACCGGAGCGAACGGAGCCGGCCCTCGGAGCCGGCCAGGCCCAGCACGGCCCGGGCAGCGCCGGCCGGGGCCGGCCCGCGGCGGGTCCCGGGGGCTCCGGGGGAGGCGGGACGCTCACTCACCGGGTGCGGGCACGGCCAGCAGCTCCGACAAGTCCGGGTAGCAGCGGTCGTCCTGGATCTGCCGGTCGATGATGCGTCCCGCCACCTCCAGCGCCTCCTGCGCGGCGGGCGCCGCGGAGCCCACAGCCCCGGGCATGGCGATAGACGGCGGCGATGGCGGCGCTCCCGCCCTATCCCGGCAGGCCCCGCGCGCGAGACGCTTCCGGCGGCGGGAAGCGGGATGTGGGAAGGGAAGAGGGGCGGGAAAAGGGGCGTCCCGGAACAGGGAACGCCCCCGGGCAGGGAGCGGGCCGGGCTGCAGGAGGAGAGGGGGATGAGGCGAAGAAGCGACGAAGCAGGTCTGACTGAAAGGGGACTTCCTCAGTGTGTGACTATCTAAAGGAAGCGTGTGTGCCGAGAGGATGCAGCCGGGCTCTGGCAATAGGACAAGAGGCAACGGGCAGAAACTGATGCACAGGCAGTTCCACCTGAACACGAAGAAGATCTTTACCGTGCAGGTGACTGTGCGCTGGAACAGGCTGCTCAGAGGGGCTGTGGAGTCTCTCTCACTAGGGATGGTCCAGAACCGTCTGGACACAATCCTGTGCCATGTGCTCTGGGATGGCCCTGCTTGAGCAGGGAGGCTGGCCCAGATTGATCCACTGTGGTCCCTTCCAACCTGACCCATTCTGTGACTCTTTGGTCTGCTCTGACAGCCCTGTCGGGGCTGTGCTGCATCCTGCAGGGATCCCCAGGGCCACCCGAGAGACAGGAGTGGTGTGCTGTGCCGCGCCCCGAAGGCAGAGGAGGGCCCCGAGGAGAGCAGTAGGAAGTGGCTCCAGTCAGTGTGTGTGGCCCTGGGCAGCTCCCTACCTGCCTGTCCACTTTGAAGTTACAGTAGGTCTTTTCCAGCCCCTGCAACAGCCCAAGGAAAGAGAGTCTATTTGACAAAGGTTGGACTTGTTGATCTCAGAGGTCTTTTCCGGCCTAACTGATTCAGTGGTGTTATGCTACAAGCCTGAGGTGATAATTCTGTGATCTATACTGTGGAATTACAGTATAGATCAGATAGACATGCACAGATTTTGGAAGAAAATCCAAGGAAGACAAGGAGCTACTGGAGAGGGTCTAGTGGAAGACTAAAGATGATTAGGAGTCTGGAGCATCTCTCTTATAAGGAGAGACTGTGGCAGCCTGTTTAGTCTAGAGAAGAGAAGTCTGAGAGGGATCTCATTTATGCATATAAATATCTCAAAGGCAGGTGCCAGGAGACTGGTGGAAGACTCTTTTCAGTGGTGTCCAGTGACAAGATGAGGAGCAATGGCCATAAACTAAAACACAAGAAGTTCTATTTCAACATGAGGAAGAACTTCTCTGCACTGAGGGTGGCAGAATGTTGGAACAGGCTGCCTGCATGGAATCTCCCTTTCTGGAGACATTCCAAACCTACCTGGACATGTTCCTGTGTCACCTGCTGCAGATGAGCCTAGCTTGGCAGGGAAGTTGGACTGGATGATCTCCAGAAGTCCCTTCCAACCCTGATGATTCTGTGACTTTGTGTGTAGTGATGTAAACCAAAAACAGGGCGATACCCAGCCCCTTAGGATTTGAATAGGGGTTTGAGTCAAGTGTTGCAATTTTTTTTTTAGTTTTTAGATGTGGCTGGACAGTTATGGTTAGGCAATTGCATATCAACATTGTACACTTAGCAAATCTTACGTTTTAAGGAAAAGAGAAGACAATCCCAAGATTGTTTGGATAAGAGTCACTAGGAGTTAAGTCAGCAAAACTGAGCATTAACTGGGGTAAAGGTAATTTCAGCAGTGAGTGATCCCAGCCACCAAGTCATTGACCACAGACTCAAAATGAACCCTGAACTCCAGTGGAAGGAAGAACTGCACCTGTGGGCTAATTAGCAAGAGAAGGGAGAGATACAAGAGGTTAATAAAACAATGATGTAATTTGTAATCAATGAATGCTGATGCCTTTGTTTGTTAAAATGTATAAATAGTGTAAAGCTTTGATGATTGGGAGGCCAGCAGGTTACCCCCCCCCCATCTCCTACTTTGTGCAAACTCAAAAAAAGAAATAGAAATGCCTTGCCTTGGTGTCTAAATTGGCGCTGCACACCAGTTAACGAGCCTGTGTTTGGTACAACACAGGGACTCCCAAGGCGCGCACAGTGCCTCTGCTGAGAGATAAGGTGTGTAAGCAGAGTAAGTTGCCTTTGCACGTCACTGGCCTGAAGAAGCTGCTGTTTTTTCCAGAATTTGGATTTACACATCAGTGTGACTGTAGCAGATTAGTAATGGCCTGAAGAAGCTGCTGGTTTTCCAGAATTTGGATTTACACATCAATGTGACTGTAGCAGATTGTTAACTTACCGAGGCTGAGTCTCTGCTAAGTGATGTGTCTGCTCTGAACAGCATAGACATTCCCAAATCATCACAGGAAATTTTGGGACTGGGTGAAACTTGAATTGCAGGGAAGGGGTCTGGTTTGTAAGTCATGTTTGCTGCCTAGACTGCACTGAATTTCTGCTCCTGGATCGGTCCAGCACCCATTCTGGAAAGCTTTGTTTATGGCAGAGGCACATGGCACAAGAAACAAAATCCTCCCGCTCTGCTTTCCAAATGGAGAACATAAAATTAAGCAAATGGGGAATTTCTTGCCGTATCTTCTCAAGACTGAGGAGCTATCAGCCAGTCACCAGCAGGGTTTCCCAGGGCTCAGTTTTAGGGACAGTGCTTTTTAATATTCTTATAAATAATCTAGTTTGCAGGAATTTAGTTTGGTGATACTAAACCAGGAGGAGCTGTGGACTCCCTTGATGGTAGAGAGGCCTTACAGAGATTAAGATAGATGGAGACCTGGGCAATTGCCCACCATATAAAATTGAACAAGAGCAAGCACCAGGTTCTCCACCTGGGGCAGTGAAATAGCAGTTACACGAATTGGGGGATGAGAGGCTGGAGAGCAGCCCCGTGAAAAGTGATCTGGGTTTTAGGGTTGATGGCAAGCTGAGTATGAGCCGGCAGTGCCCTGGAAGCCAAAAGGTCCAACTGTGTCCTGGAGTGGAGTGCACGAGACACAGCATCAATGGCCCTACACTGTACTGTGGGGTCCCACACCCCATCTCAAATCTGTGTCCAGTTTCGGGCACCTCAATTTAAGAAGGATATCACACTGTTAAGAGTGTATCAGGAGGAGGGGACCAAGACGGTAAAGGGTCTCAAGGGCAAGACTTATGAGAAGAGGCTGAAGTCATTTGGCTTGTCCAGCCTGGAGGACGCTGAGGGGGGACCTCACAGCAGAGAACACCTTCCTCATGCGGGCAGCGGAGAGAGAGGTTCTAATCTGATTTCTGTGGTGACCAGCGGCACGACAGGACGAGCCGGCATAGAGCTGTGTCATGGGAAATTCAGGCTGGACATCAGGAAACGGTTCTTTCCCTGAGAGGGTGGTCGGTCCCTGGAAGAGGCCTCCCAGGGAATCAGTCGCGGCACCAAGCCTGGCAGAGCTCTAGGAGAGTCCGCACGGCTCTCGTCGTGGCGACGGTCACTTTAAAGCGGCGCTGCAAGGAGCAGGGCGTGGGTACCATGACGCTGCCTGGTTCCTGCGGTGGAAAGGAAGCTCTTTGGGCCTCGCCCGGGCGTTTCCTGCAGGCGGCTGTTGTGGATCCGGGGCAGGCGCAGCATGGAGCCGGCGGCGGAGGGCGGTGAGCGGCGGGGTGCGCGGGGCCCAGCCCAGCCCAACCCAACCCAGCCCGCGGCCCCCGCTGACCCCCCGCGCTTTCCTTTCTTCTCTCTCTCGTTGCAGACGCAGAGATACTGGGGGCACCCGACCCGCAGCTGGCGGCCACCATGGGATTCTCGGGCTTCGGTGCGTGTGGATGCGGGCGGGGGGTGCCGGGGGAGGCTGCTGGTGGGGGTGGGAGCGGAGCCTGTCAGTCCCGGGTGGAGCTGTGTTCCAGTCTGCTCTTCTTCGTTTCCAGGGAAAAAAGCTCGGACTTTCGACCTCGAAGCGATGTTTGAGCAAACGAGAAGAACTGCAGTAGAGAGGAGCAGGAAGGTCCTGGGTAAGAAGCGTGATCGGCTTAATGCGTTTTAAAACATGTTTTGGTTTGCTCTCTTAGGGCGATATTTGAAGTGCCTCGGACCGGCTGTTTAGAGAACAAAACACAGGTGCAGTTTTGTGCAAGGAAACCAGTCCTAAACAGCTTGGGCCTTGATGGATAGTTAAAGTTATTAATTTGTTTGTGAGGTCTGAGGATGTAAGAGCAGTGTGAGTGTGCAGTCTTGCAAATACGCGAAAAAAGTGAATTTGAGCATGAGAGTATTTCCTTTCTTCTTTTGCTTAGCTGTGTATGTATTTTGGAAGGGAAGATGGTACAAACAGCTTTAATCTAAAGACAACAGAATAATGAAGAAGACATGTTTGTCTTATATCAAATATCAGGTTATATAGCAGCCCATGTCTGTGTCTTTTGCTGTGCATTTTCAAGGTAGTGGTTTGAGCGGTAGATGGAGGAAATTGTATCATTTGCTGCCTGTATCCAAGTAAACAGCAGTCCAAACGAGGTCCTTGAGAGCACTCATATATATTATAGAAACCCCTTCATCAGTTGTCCATACTTTCTTTCTCTGCTTGGACAGTTTGTGCAGAATGTGTGCCTTTTGTTTTGTTTTGTTTTTCATGTGATACCATCATGGTTGAACAGCTTCTATCGTAGTAGATTACATTTAACCTGCTCTCTTAACTGTTGCAGTTTATGAAATTATTATACTTAAATGATCTAAGTATGTTACAACTCCTTTAAGTCTTTTGAAACCTTTTAAATATCTTTTAAACCTTTTAAAAAGGGCTTTGTATTGCCTTGATTCTATGCAGAACCTCTAGATCTGTGGAGGCTCATTGACTTTGTGGACTTTGGGACACTGTGAAATTCAAATGTACAAGGGATTCCAAAATTCAGTTTGGACTGTGGTTTTTTTTTGTTTGTTTTGTTTTGTTTTTGTTTGTTTGTGGTTTTTGTTTTGTTTTGAGTTTTGTTTGTTTGTTTGTTTTTGTTTTCTGTGTGTATGTGTGTGTGTGTGTGTTCACTGAATCTAAACACAGCAATGAGTGTCCATGTTGGAAACCTTTTTATGTTTGATAGTTGTTCAACTTGAGCTATCATTTCTCATGAGAAATTGTTTGTTTACATCAAGTTTTTGTTTAGGAGGGAGGTTCAGTAAGTAATTACAAAACCATAAGTTTTTAAGTCGAGATATCTTGACCTATGTCTTGAATGTATCCTCTTCCCTTCCCTGTACTATCCCGCTCCTGCCCCCAGATTCTAGGCCTGAAAAGGAAGCACACCACATTTTTTGAAGTTCGTTATTTTGCCAAAAGTGTTAAAGTTTTGTATGTAATTCAGCTGTTTAACTTAGAAACAGATTTTAGTATTCAGAGTATAGCAATCAAAAATGTGTATGTGTTACAGCTTTTTGGGGGGGGGCTTAATGTGAGCATTTTACTTTGAGATTTCTTAAGATACACTTCTGATTTTTAGGTTTTTTGAATAACGGATAACTTTTGAGTATATCTCCTCCACTACCTGATATGTTTCCTGGTTCTGTATCTTGCAGGTGTTCACATCTGTATACTTATGCACTAATTTAGTTCCCTGCATTATGAAAACATCAAAAATTCTCTGAAGTGATCATATTGCTGTAGTATAGTGTTGGAAGTAGTGAAATATCAGCATCCTTATGTGATCAACTTATGTTTGATAGGGTCTACAAATGAACAACTGGCATTTATGTTTTTCTTGTAACATTTTAGTGAGTGATTATTTCAGTAGGAATGGAAATCAAGTTCATTTTCAGGTTAAATGCTGTATTTTCTGTTACCTTTCCAAATATTTCATATAGGTCCAGAAACGAAGAAAGTTGGCTAACTGTCCTCAGCAAACCACTAATTTTAATATTTTCTAAAAGACTTGATTATTTGTCATTTCTGTGCTCGCTGTATTTAGAGGCCCGTGAAAGAGAAAAGGAAGACCAGACTGAAAAGGAGTTCAGAATTCCCTGTGCTGAGCCATCAGCTTCAGCATCCAGTGCAACAGGAGCTGGGTCCACATTAACTGAAAGGTACTTAGATATGGTGGGAAATTCCATGTAAAAGATTTCTTTTCTGAAGAGAGTGTTTGTTTGTTCTGATAACATAAGTGATAATTAACTTTTGTGGATATGTCTGTGTTATCTGAAGTATTCCAATGAAAAGAGAGATTTAAAGTTTTTTTTTTATCTTAAAGACGTGTCAATATTTGTATATATTGATATTAAGTATACTTGATATTCGTTTTTGCAGTCTTCTCCTTGATTCTGTTGGTCATACTTTTTAAAAAATAACAATAATGTCAGTATCTGAGGTTTTTTTTAAAATACTAGGGCAGATATAATGACAGCATGTCAACCTCATTAGCAGCTGTTTTTCTCACTTGTAGATAGAATGTACTTGTTCATGTCTGATGAAAAAGAAAGTGAGGTAGGTGGAGAGCCTCTGCATGCAGGTTTTTTAGAGTAATGGTGGGGTAAAGAATATTTTTTGTATTGTCTTCAGTATGAAATTTACTGTTAAAGCTTGCCAACATTTATTATTGATAAACAACGTATGCTATGGCTTTTACAGTTTGTATTTTGCATTGCTGGGAGATCAAAAGGAGCTGAGAGCAATGGGGACCACAAACTCCGTTGTATGGCAGGGCTTGCAGAGATGAGTGCAATGTAAATTGTTAAGTTTCTCTGTCTATCAAAGTCTAATAATCCATGCAAGACTCTAGGATACCTATATATATGCACATTACAGGCTGGTAGAGCCTACATGTTGTTGTCATAGTGAAACTTTCAGAGTTTCAGACTGAGCAAATTTTTGTTAGAAAATTTTTTGCCTGTTGCTCTATGAAAGACTCAAATGAGCCATGCACTCTCACTGAAATAGCTGAAATACTGCCCTCTGGATCCTGTCTTATGTCTTGTGCTCAAGGGAAAAATATTCCGTTCTCCCGTTTGCTTTTGATGAACTTATTTATTTATCTGGTGACATAATGGAGAATGACAAGAATTTTAAATGTAACGTGTATTTTGTATGGGTGACTCCTGTATACAGAAGCAATCAAAACAAATGGTAAGGTGGAGAGCAGTCAGTTGATGCAGAGGCTTTCCATAATCATCTCATTTGGCTAATGGGCTTGATAGGAGAGAACTCTAGGGACTTTGCGTAAAGGAAGATAACAAATACCTTTCAGTGTGCTGAGTTATTAGGTAAGCTTTGGTAACTCATCTGAGTTCTACTGGTAGTAAATTTTCTTTTGTTTTTCTTTTTGTTTTTACTAAGCATTGAGAAGGAAGGGCTTGAAATGAATAGCTCTCCTGGAAGTTTTATATTTTCTTGTAAACTAGGATATGTAGCTGAGTATTTCTTGGTTAGAAACAGGGAGCTAATGAAAGAGACATGTCGTTGTGACTCAGTCTTAATTCAGAGGAACACTCCTGCAACTAACAATTTAAGTCTGAAATACAAGATTTTCTATTTTTTTTTATAAAGCAGATTTTAGTTACTGCTAAACAACATGAAGAACAGCTACTGGTTATTTTTGCTCTTGAGGTGTTTTGCTGTAGAGAGGTGTTTACAACAGTTATGGTATTTTATGTATTTATGCAGAAGTGTAATAATTGTGCTTTGCAAAATGAAAAGAAAAAAATGGAGAAAATTGAGTGAATGATGTGAGAAGAGTGAACACGTGGGGAGGATATGCCCACATACTTTCATAACTCTCAGAATGTTTTGTATTAATTCTCCTCTTAGTTTACCCTCCATGCTCTATTACAGCTTTCTTTTCTTTACTCTTACAGCTTGTTTCCCTTACTGAGGAAGTAATAGGGGGAAGCAAAAAAAAAATTCCTTACACTTCTCTGAATCCTGGGAAAGGGGCTGGCAAAATGGTTGTTCCTTTGCAGCCCCTGGTAGAGTAAGACTGGAAGGCTCAAAGTTGAAGGAAACACCACTTGTTTTATCCTTTCTGTCAGCACCACTCCCAGTTGCTGTCAGGAGGGCAGATGGGCATTTGGTCTGGCTGCACTGGAGTGTTCTTATGTTTGACTTTATTCCAGTCGGGACAGAGGATACTGGTAGCTGTAGGTGGATTACTTGGCTGTCACTGCCAAGCTTGGAGTGGGGTTGAAAAATAGCACAGCAGCTCTGGCCAGTTCATGTGCCAGTGGCTGCACTGCCCCTTAAAATACTGAAATGTTTGATTTGATTAACTTCCTTCCTAGTAAATGAAAAAACAATAAGGACAGGTAATTAGGAAGAAAGGTAGGTATTGCTTTTTGATGTCTGTAGGAAGATCTGAAAATCTGTGACTCCAGGATTGGGACGACCTCCTTGAATGTTGTATACACCCTTCTCATTGTCACAGGGTATGTTTTTGGTTACATTCCACTCCAAAACTTATTAAATAGTTTAGCCTTTGGGGAAAAGATTTGTAGTCTAGGAATGCATATCCGCTGTTGAAACACGAGTCTTTTGCCCATAGTATTGTGAACTTAGTTTTGAGGATACCTTACTTGAAGAACTTTGAAGATCCCAAACTGCTTCACATCCTGTAAAATCTTCCTTTTGGGAAAAGGATATCGATTACTCCATTGTTGTAGAGTAGGAGAAACTCTTTTTATTTGAATTGTTTATTAGATAATCATATCCTGATCTAAGTTTTTAAATATCTTTCGTCACTATGCAAAAGCAAGTTAGTATGAAGAGCTAATTTACTTTGTTATGCTCATAAATATAGTTGGGAAACTTAAAAAAGCTTTCAGGCATCAAACCTGCCTCTTCTCTGTAACATCTGAGGACCTAAATTGTGTTGGGTTTAGATTTTTTTGAATTATTCCTAAAATAGAGTTTTAGTTGCTTGTCCAACACAAAAATTTGTAGTTAGTATCAGTTTAGTGTGCAGTTGGTGTTGGGGGCAGAATGGGGATGTCACAATTTCTTAATCCTTTATTATGTTCTAAAACTTTCATGTTTTTATTACAGTTTTTAAGTGATAACCTAAACTTCTTTTAAAAAAACCCCAAAGTAATACCTCTGTAGTTTAACAAGGAGAAGAGAAAAATAAGAGTGTTTTGCGGTCTGCTCACTTAAAAACTCTGAAAATATAAGATCAAATTGAAAGAATTGGCTTGGGAGTCTATCTCAATTATTATGAAAGGAACAAATGGTTTGTACTGCAAAGTATCACTATGATGATACACTTTTTTGTAGTCGAAAGACTATTTTCTGCTAATTCCTTTGAGACTTTCTGTGGATTCGAGTGGCGTTTCTTGGAGCTGCCAGCAGAGGGGGCGCAGCTACCTTGAATAGACCGCATGAACATGGACTAAATAACTCAATTTTTCAGAAATTTCCCAATGCCAAAAGTAATGTGTTCACCCAACCGATTTGGACAACATCAAAATGAAAATTTGATGTAACTTGAAGAGTCTAGACTTTGTTTGAGAGTGCCTGGTATCCTGTTATTCTTTACCAGCATTTTAAAGCAAGTGCCACACTTTGTGTTCTCACTCTGGGTGTGAACCTGGGCAGTTACTGTTTTGTTTTCCACGCAGACAACAGAGGTGCAGAGCATCTGTACAAGCTGCAGCTTGAAACAGAATCTTGAAATTGCTCTATAACAATATATTTTGTTGGTTTCTAATTACTATTGAAATCCATAATAATGGTGTAGTACTGTTGCTTTTACAATCCATTTAACTTTTTTAATTTTCTTCAGTTTTTTGAACTGTCACTATGATATTCTTTTCTCAAAGCTTTGTTTGTACTTTTGAGATGATGGTTAATAAAATGTAATGTACGTTTTACTGCTAATTTTGGTGTCTGTAGATTTATAAGAGTGCCCAACGTCTTTTATCTGAAAATTGCTGTGGAAGTGACCATGTTTTTGAAATAGTAATGTTTTAAATTTTTCTTGCAGACAGACAGCCAGTAGTGAAAGTGAGGACAGCTCAAATGAAGAGTTAACTGGTCCTTCCATGCAATCCCAGGGTTCTGCTAAAGGTGCAGCTGAGGATACTGATGATGATGATGATGATGAGTTCATTGGGCCACCACTTCCACCTGGGTTCAAGGATAGTGATGACGATAATGACAATGATGATACAGAGGAGGAAGATAATGTAAGCAATCTGTTCCTCTTTTTAAATGCTTTCAGTAGACTGATTTTTTTGTTCTCTTCCTTTATGATGGAATTTCCAGGTGAAGTGTGACTTGTTTGAAATGCAGGTTTTCTGTTTTTTCTAATGATTCTTCATCAAATGCAAATGGTTGTTTTCATTTAAAAATACTAGGACTGAAAACAAAAATACACATGTGAAATTCATTATCAATTACTATATATATTGTTTAATTCTTTGATTTTGTGTTATGAAAGAATGAGGTAAATATTTCATATTAGTATTTTAGATGGTTTATTTCCCAAAGCATATATAGAATTTTTGAGAAGAAAGAGGAGGCAGAGGTGGGCTTGAAACAGTTCTATACCAGAACTGCTTTGAAAAAATGAACTATCATAACCAAGGGATTTTTTTCCTGTTCTACCCCCCTTTTTTTTCCCCTTTTTGTTTGTTTGTTGTTTATTTTTGTGTATTTTGGTTTGTTTTTTTTCTAAATAAGAGCCAGACCTATTTGGTAAAAAGAATATAGATTTTTCTGTCTATATTGAAATCAAGAAACCCTGTAACAGCCTAATTTTGGTACCACAGATACTTAGCATATCTTTTCTCCAGTTAAAAGGCATCTGGATCTGGTTCTGGGTGATGTGGTTTAGTGGTTTAAGGGTTACAGTGGCAGTGCTGAGTTGATGGTTGGACTGGATTATCTTGAAGGTCTCTTCCAACCTTTACAATTCTGTGAAGAGATTAATAGTTGGATGTTTGTTCTTCAAAACTGTCTGGATTGAGTATTTTGTGGCACTGGATTTTGTTTGATGGTTTCCATGTGTAGCAACAGTGATAGAAGTCCTGTAAAAAGAGCCTTACTTATGCTATTTTGAGTCCCAGGGTAGCAGAAAATGACCTGTATGTCCTGTTACTCATAAAAAAGCTCCACATTTTCAGGTGTCTCAAGGCTTTCCTTTCAATTTCTCTTTAGTTTTTACTGGGCACTCTGTTTGTTCTTTTTGTATGATATCGTTTAGTTTGAATTTTCTGAACTTCAAAACTGAAGTTTAGAGTGCTCAATTAAAATGAACAAGATGAATTTCTTAGGCAGTGAGATAAGTGATTTTTATTAGAGCGAGCCTAAACTTATGCGATCACTAAGTTTTCTTTTTCTTCATTTCCCTGCAGAGGATAAGTGATGATGGAAATTCTTGTGCCTTAGGGATTTACATTATTATGTCTGGTCCACTTGATTCACTGTTGCCTATGGATTTCTTTAATTATCAAACTGTACATTTTAGTCCTGTATTCCTGTGTTCTCCTCTGTACCCCACGTATGACTTGTTCAACTGGAGATAAACTGGAGATAAAGCCCAAACTTCCCTTGAGGGTGACATAAACCCCAAGATGACTTATGGCTTACTACTAATCTGTGTCAGTAATTCTCTTACTTTTTAGTTGTCATAGACTCAGTGAATTTCAGTTGTGTATCATGACTGAAGTCACTCTTTTCTGTCATCTTCTCCAGAATGCTGAAGCCAAAGCAACGTTCACAAATAGCTTGTTTTACTTTAACCTGTCTTCCTCAGTAGTCACTTTGCTGATTTGGCTGTTTTAATTTCTAATAAGACACTGGTGTTTATTTTTTATTTATATGTATTTGAATAATGCTACAACTAGCTTGATGAAGTGGTTATTTGGGAGCAGAGTTAAAAGACCCTACTGAAAAGTTTCAGACAGAAAGGTAACTTGCAGTCTGGTGTGATTTAAGTTTGTCTGAACTTAAGACAATAGTTACAAAACAGTCTAGAATGGATTTGGTTGAGAGTAAGCAGAGCAGCAGAAATATGAGACTTGTGGGTTTTCAGTCTAAACAGTTAATTTATAACAGGGAAGATTTTGTGTCAGTGTGAATGCCTGAGGCCTTTGGGGTCTAGAGCCTTCCCTTACTGCTGCTCATGAACTCAGTTATTTTCTTTCCTGTGAAGGGAATCAGGAAGCAGCTGTGCTTTCCTGATTTCCTGTTGATCGATTGGTGATCATAGGATGATCTTGTGAGCCCCAGGGAAGGCAGGTGTTGCAGTTACGAGAACTCTGTGATTCCTTTTTTTTGCTTGTACCTCAGGCTGTTGTTGGTATATGGGTGCAGAACTGAGACAGGAGAAACTGAAAGCTGAATATTTTTCCCCCCACCCAGATGTAGTGTGAGACTGTCTCTCTTTTGTTAGCATATTTTGCTGCTGAAGTAATTTCTTGAAAACACAAATATCAATGTTTTTGATCCTGAAGGAATAGGTTTTTTCTCCAACACTTGCCAGTATTACAGTGTGTGATTTGTAGTCTGAAGTCTCATGAGGTTTGTATAACAGATAAAATACATCAAAATATTGGTTTCACCCTGATAGCTTGCCTCTATATCTCAAGCCGGATTTTAGACGTGTTTTTTATTATAGGAACATTTTGGTTTTCACTATTCCTTGTTCAGTTGGGTTTGCTTTTTTATTACAGATATGTCAATAGGCATATCTGTCAAGTTGGGTTGCTCTGAGGCTGGCAACTTTTGAGCCCAGGATTGGCCCAGGACTGCGCAGCTCACATTAGATATTTTACAGAATAAACGTGGTGGAAGGAGTAGCTGGTGGTTATTACCTTTGATGGGAATTTTTTGTATCTTATTGGTCTTTTTATGGGAAACAGCAGTTATTTGCTGAATGTTTTGAATCAGCACTGATATTTTTTGATTATTATACATTTTTGTTATAGGTACAAGAGGTATAGTTAATATTAATTCCCCCTGATATTTTCGTCTTGTTGTAGCATTCCTTTTTACATAGGAAGCTTACATTAATTTGAGGAGTGAGGAAAATAAGAAGCTGGCTATTGTGATCAGTTGTTTCATGTAGTAGTTTCTCTTCTAGTGGTGTAAAAACATGTTTGGATCATCAGTGTCAGTTTTTCATGTGTTGTAAGCTTAGAGGGGGAAGAGCGTCTTCTGTAGTGTGAAGCTTTACAGGTTTGGTTTCTATCCTGAGAAATAAGCCTTTCTGGAATACTTGGAAAAAATCTTTAGAAGAGAAAACAGCTTATTTTACAGAGAGCAGATTCTTAATGAGAGCACTATTTAATTTGTTGAATTTTGAGGCTGGAAGATACAGTAGTCTTTGCCAGTTTTTTGCCCTGCAGAGATGCAGTGGGAATCTGTCTGGTATTTGTGCCATCAAAATCTGGCTGGAGGAGGTCAAAGACTAGCAAAAGTAGTACTGTCAGTGTTGATAGGTGGACAGCTTTAAATCTCAGACATGAACATTTTTCAAGGGAATGGATGGCACCTATTAAAAGACTGTAGTAAGAGAGAGTGTATGTGTTGATGCTGTCTTCTACATGTGATTAGAAAATGTTCTGGGGTCTTTCATAAAACTTAACGCACTGTTAGTATCTTGTGACACTTTTCTTGACTTGAAGCAACAGGTACATAGGTGACTGAATGATTTGCCAGATGGATTGGTAAGGATTTACCTTCTATCTGGAACTGAGTTATAGTTGAGTCTCCTTTGGAACGGAGAACTGTTTCGCCCTGCAGCACCAAAGGGATACTAATCATGTCGTAATTATGTCCCTGAAACAAGTACAGCCTTGGGCGTCCTCAAGGCCCAAGGCTGTACTCTTGATTTGGCATGTTTCCAGAATGATAGCATAGCTGTATTCTAGGTTTTAGAATTGTTTTGAGATATTTTTATTTTTTTTTGCAGAAGTTTAACAGGATATACCAGTAATATTCATTTGTTCGGAATGGAAGACAGCCATTTCCTGCTGATTTAGATGGCGAATTTAAGTAGGCTGTAATTGCTCCAATTAGAATTTGGCTATGAAACCGGGCTAAAAATCATGGTGTTATAAAAATAAATAAATTTTAGGGGAATTTTTAGTCATCCTAAGGATTTTTAACATTTAGGCTGAGGACTGTCTGTCCTGGTAACTGCTGAATCTTATTTACCCAGTCATGTTTCATCTTGGCTAAAGAGAAGTGTAGTAAGCTGAACAAAGCAATTTTTGTGTGTGCAATAGAGACAGAAAAGTGAGGGTTTGAGGATGAGAGGCACTATTTTTTAACCATTTCTAGGCATTGAAAATTGATGAAAAATTACCATTGATTTTAATTTGTCACCTTCCTGTATAACCAAAAAGAAAATGCTTTTGTCATATGTGTGCATACTGTGTTCCTAGATCTTGACAATAAAAATCAGATAAATGTATTTTCTTTGTATTAAACTTGAAACAAGTTGTGGATTATTGATGTAATTACCACTATTGCAAAGAGTGAGAAAGAATGTTTTGAAAGTGAGTAAGAATGGATTTGCAAGCTTCACAAAAATCAAAAGAAAACAAAATGTGCCCCCTAAAATTTGTATAATGAAGCTCAGTCTAACAATGTAAGACAATCAAACAGAAACTGGAATGGAAGGAATGCTTAACATAAGAAACTGAGAGCATCATATGAAGAGGGAGCTAACAGGGTAAAATATATAAATAATGGCCAGTCTTTGCGAACGAAGAACGGGGGAAGGTCTTTACACCTTCCAGCCTGCGCATTGGATATTTTAGGTGAGACACAGTGTGCGCGGAACTGAGCCCACCCTTTAATCCTGAGGTTCATCTGCCGGGGCCAAGCGAGCTTGGACGGTGGCAGCGAGGTCCTCAGGACGTAGATGGATTGCCTTACAGGGCTAACGAGCTCCATCTGCCCGGGGAATGTCCTAACTGGGAATCGAACCCGGGTCTCGGCATTGGTGGTGCCACGGCTTAACCACTGCACCACCAGGGGCACTCCAAGCTAACAGGGTAATTCCCTTAGGAAATGTTTGTCTTTGATAAAAAAAAAAGGCATGGGGTATTTGCTCATCTTCTCTTCAACATGGTGCCCCTGAGTTTGTGATTACCAGTTGTTCCTACAGAAAATGAATGTACTTGCAAAAATGTCTATTTTTTGATTCTGCACAAGGCCAAACCTTCTCTGCTGT